ATAAAAGAAATTCAATAAATAAAAGCACCACGCACAAACATCGAAACAGAATGAAATTTGAAAGGAGTCGAAGGAGCTTTCTTTACCTTTTGTCGACCAAAATCGATCCAAAATCGTGCCGTGGCCCTCTCGTAAGGATCCTCCGGAAGTAAAGCGGGCCCACGATCGGGCCATGCCTCCTCAATGTACTCGAGTATCACGTCCGACTCAGCCACCGGCCGCCCGCCGTGGACGAGGACCGGCACCTTCTTGTGAACCGGGTTGTACTCCAAAAGTGACGGGCTCTTATTGGACAGGTCCTCTTCTATGTACTCGTACTCTATCTTCTTCATCTTGAGTGCCCATGTCACCCTGTACACATAGGCGCTAGCCCAATTGCCGTATACCTTCACTTGGGAATCTTCCATTTTGATGGATCTGAACAGGTGTGTGTTTGTGTGAGTTTTTGAGTAAAGCTAACTTTTTTAATTGATCTTTACTCGGTTTTATTGGGGCCCCTTTTGGTTTGTTTTGGATTTGCTTTGAATTTGTGCACACTTGTGACCTGACCTTTCTTACTGTGTTATTTCTCAGTTGCTTCTACCTAGTTTCACATGGAATAAAATATCAAGACAAAGAATAGGTCTTTATACCTTAGTAATTATATTTATAAAAAATAAATAAAGATGCCATCTTTAGCTATGTTTGGTAAACGTAGCACTAGATTATAGCTGATATTTATAAAAATAAAGAAAGATGACATCTTTGGCTATGTTTGGTAAACGTAGCACTAGATTATAGCTGATAGCTTATGACTTATGACTGAAAAACTAACTTATAGATAAAAATGTTTTTGTAAAATTAGATGATAAATTAGCTGAAATAAAAATCTCTCTCTCTGTCTATATATATAAGTTTGATTATTTTTTAAATAGTAATTATTTCCTTAAAAAAAATTATTTACTATTTTCGGAAAATTAATTTAACAATTTATGATATATTTCAAATGATCACATATGGTAATTGCGTCTCATTATTTAAGGAAGTAATTAAGCCATATTTTAAGATACCTTAACTACTCAAATTATGTGAATTAATTAATATATGGTATATAGTGGATGAATTTATTTTTGGTATTGATGGTTGTTCCTATAAGAAATATATTAATCAATATATGGTATAAAGTGAACAACTTTATTTAG